AAACTAAACTAACTACTCTCTCTCTCTCTCTCTCTCTCTCTCTCTCTCTCTCTCTCTCTCTCTCTCTCTCTCTCTCCATGAATGCTTTTGTTGGTATGCAGTGTGGAGCCAGATGAACAATGAATTTTAACTTGGATGTAGACCATTCTACGGTATGGCAACATTAGTAGTTTTGACTAATTCAATAGTAGGAGGAAATAACACACCCAATAGTAGGAGGCCATGATGGGATAATATGTCTTGTTTATTTTCCAATGTGTTTATAAAACTCAACAAGATATCTTCATACACAAAGAAGATGGGATGCCTTAAACCATTACAGGTGTTTCTTCTTCAGTTGTAACTTGAAAACAAAATTTCTCACAAGTATAATCTGCTTGGCAGATATCAGCATCTATTAAAGATCAATTATCCACAAGACAGTGTTATGGGTCTTGTAAGTGTATTATACTGGAGTTTGGTCCAAGGAGATCTTGACCATTAGAGAAGCATATATAATAGTTTGCAGTGTCTGACAGATTGAAGTTCTCAATGAAAAAAATTGTTTCATAAGAAAATAAACATTCTTATATAGGCTTATGACAGATCAAGTTTGGGATTGTTAAAGATTTGGGCAAGTTCCGGTCAAATCATCCACAATAGCTGTTAAGAGCTCAAGCAGAAACTTGATTGAACCCAGTGAAGGACTACGAATGCTCAACTTGCATCAAACAACAAGTTGAATCAGATAGACCATAATCAAGCCAAGTGACAAAATACAAGGATGCTGATGTTGTATTAACTGAAAATCATATAAATACAGTAAACCCAATTATAGAATCTACCAGACATAACCCAAACCCTCGCTGCATTGAGTTTAAGCCGGATTATGGCATCCATATAAATATATATTTTCACAAAGAAGGCAATATATATTAACCAGCATGATCGCTCTATCTGTGTCACCAACAGGAGTAATAATTACTCTTATTATTTTCTTTTTTCAAATCCTGCATTTCTTTTTCAATCTTTCTTTTTTCCTTGCATTTATGTTTATATTATAGGTCCTTCCTGCTCTCCTCTTCTACTAAAAACCTGTCTCGATATAATATTCTTACCCCTAAACTTTAGACCACAATCTTACAGGAACAAGTATGTTAAGCCTGCCTATTTCTAGGTCTTCTCGATTTTCACTCACATCCATATCACCACTACTCAATCTAATACAACCAAATTCTTTTTCGTCTTTATTTTGTTTTTTGGTGTCATATCTCTTTTCCTACACAGGTTGAAAGGTTGATCCATCTATTATCATTATAAACCCAATAAAGGCCAGATACCCACAGATCAATCATGACTAGTAAAAATTTTATTCAGCTATCCAAAAAAATGGTTTTATCTTTGACCTTTCCAGTCCTATGCATAAAACTGGGCATTCACAAAAGAAATTATTATGATCTATAAATTTATTGTAAATATTGTATACTAAATGCATTATAAAAATAATCAAAATGGTGAGGAACTAGGTTACATATTGAAATTTAAACTACCATCAAGAACAAAGAGAACATAGGCGCCATAATCAAAATCTCTTGTTTTGAGATTTTATTGACAATCTATGACCTCCAATATCAACAGTTTCATCAGACTAAAGAACTATGCAATTGAATGTAAAACATAAGGAATTAGATATAATACTTGCCTCTGTTTGCAATCGCTGCAAAGTGACCCAAATCAAACGCAACCTAGGACCTTCATCAATAGCAAACAAATTGAAGGGTTGCTTTTTGCTGTCAGCATTGTTTTCAGCAACGTTGCTAGTGAAATTACTATCATTCTTAATTGTACTCAAAGCATCCATAAGCTTTTTGTAAGTTTCATGCCAATAATCGTTTGAGGTAGACTCAGTTGATCTGTCCAGAAATTGGTGCATCCACATCAGCTAGAATATGTCATGCTTAAGATATGGAAGAGATTACTAATTTCTCAACACATGAGATAAATATGCAATGCCATCCAATTATACATGGTTCTTCCGATTAGCAGCCTACTCTTACCTACCGTAACTGGATGTTGTAGCATCACGATGTAAGCCTGTAGTGCCATCTCGTACCCTGGAAAAAGCTCTGTCCCTGGGAACTACTCCAGCTAGGTATGCAAAGATCACACTGACTGTTAAAAGAACTTGGTTGACAATAGGAATCCAATTGTTTGGCATATTAGTCTCGGGATTCATCAGCATCCCCTGACAACGACATTTGATAGAGCTCTTCTTCATGCAAATTATGTCATTTATGCCAGTGCGAAAAGTAGCACTAGCTAAACAAGTTGCTGAACATTTGAACTGTCCAAAAAGATGTCCTTTCTTGATACAGTCCCTGTGGCATGGAGGGCAATCAGTCCAAGTTTCCAAACAAAACATTCATATCATCAGAAAATTAACAAAAATCAGAAAGAAATTTCTTCGATATCATTCTGAATGTATACATCCATTTTCTCAAGTGCTGTCCTTACACAGACAGACATAATCATCAATGTGTTCGACAAACAGATAAATACAAAGATGATAAAAGAACATAGGGTTCATTAAGAAGTAAGTTATAACAGAATTTTGACGTGTGATTCACCTTTGTAACATTCCGGCATATGCATTTCTTTGGCTGGCAACAAAATGGTTGTTTCTGGAAATAATACTTTGCAATTGTGCACGGGCACAAGATGGTATAGAAGCACAATCCGCCATTCAAAATGCAAGGGTGGTACTTGGCAACCAGTCATTCAGGTCATTGTTGAAGTATAGGAATATACCTCATGAGTGACAACCAAACCCAGCATCTTTCGTAAGATCAACTACAAGCAAAGTAAGGACTGCATTAGTAACCTACATCACCAGTGAAGTCCTTTACATGCATAATGCAGCATGTCAATGCGATTCGACTTTCTTAAAGGCTCATCCCATGTCTTGCATGGAAAAGGCACACACATGCATTGAACAAAAAGAAGAAGAACACTTTATTAAAGATATAAAATGTGTTAAACGCGGAAATCAGGTATTAGGGTAGTGAGCAAGAAGAAACAGTGGAAACATTTCCCGGAGTCCGTTTCAGGAAACATCGAGCAATTAGCTGTTGACAAAAAAATTACTTAGGAGCAAGTTCTATATTCATGTAATGGTGATCCCCCAATGCAACAAAGATGAGCTCTACGTAAATTAACCCATTCTTTGGGCAGTCTTCATGCTTAGAACAGTGAAAAGTCCCTTTTCTCAAGTTCCCTTTTACGTGAAAACATACGATACAAAATACGCCACGGGATTCAAAGTGCGAAACATTTATTGAATCTTTACAGCAAAATCCATTAGCCCCTAACGATTCATTAATTCCAAACAATAAGAACAAATAACAAGCCGATGAAATGCTGATTGCCCTGACGATGCACCCGAAGAGATCCACCCGTCTACGGGGCTGGATCGGAAGTCAAACCCCCCGAACAACACCAGAATGCAGGGATTAGGGTTGGGATGCGAAACGAAAGAGGAACTTTGGAGGGAAGCTCATCCGAAGCGTACCTGGTTGGGTCTCGGTATCTCTCTCGATCGCTCGCTTCCGCCGCCCACCGACCTCCGCCAGGAGAAGATGGGCGGCAGCTGCAAGGACCGTTTGCATTTATCGTAGATGGAGGGCCGGAAAGAAGCCGCCCGGTTCGGGGTGAGATCGCCGAAGAGTGTGGACCGTAAGATTCGTGAACTGGATGGATGAAACCTGGACCGTGTGATCGATGATGGACCGAGACCGGGAACGGGCGGCCTCAATAAAACGCGACGAAGTAATCCGGCGGCCAACATTATCTCATGTATTTATGTGGCCGGAGCCATCTGGAGCTGTGAGATTCGGGCTATACATCCAACGGTCCTTGTTTGACGCAGAAAGAGAATCTTGACCCTCGATTAAAATATTCTAAAGCAAATAAATAAATCAAGAATTATTATAAGGTTATATTAAATGATGTTCACATGTGAATTCATTCGAGATTTATCGCTTATGCAACATTACGTAGATGTCTCAAATTAGAGTATGTCGCTTATGCAACAATGTGCTAAGCAATTAAACTCCATCGTACAGATATTGGTTACACATGATACAGATATTTATTACACCAGAAATACCCCAATCAAACTCCATCGTAGAGATATTAGTTACACGTGGAATATTAAGAGAATATTTAGGTATGCGAGATATTAAAAGAATTAAAATAATAATAACATATTACTAATGTATATTAGGTTTGACTTTCGACTTAATAAGTTGAACTTTTGGATTAAATTAATATGCAATCTCATCTATGTTAGCCTTGATTGATTTGGCTTAAACTTATCGTTCAACTTAGAATCATAATATGATACTAGAGGTAAGGTTCATAAAACAATGAGTGAATAAAAAATTATAAAATAAATAAATAAACTAGATATTGGCTACAACCAAGTGAAAAAGAAATCTAATCTATCCTAAACAATAAGGCGAAGACAACTATATCAACCACCCATTTATAGAGAGAGAAAAGAACTAAGGAAATATTCATGTATCAAAAATTAAAGGGACTAAAGAATAATCTTATATTATTAAAAATTAAAAGAATCCCATTGATAGATAGGTTTGATTCATAATTTAATAAGTTTTTAGATTAAATTAATAGCTTTTTATAATCTCTCTCTCTCTCTCTCTCTCTCTCTCTCTCTCTCTCGTCTTTGGGTGCCATTCACGCTACAAGTCGGGTGGGGACGGACAATATCGTGCGTTGAAGCTTAGATAGATGAAGAGCTAATCTCATAGTGGCATTCAACATTTTTGTGATGGCTAATGAAGATGTCATAACAGGAGAGGTGATCAAAGCCACCAAAACATGATTGCTAGTTATATCATCTCATCATCTATGGTGCTCCTATGTGCATTTATTGATGATGTACTCGAATAGCTAGCGAGCTAGCTAGCTTCATAATGACAGCATATCCTACGTGAACACGAACGTACCTATTACATGTACTCCGATGAACAAATCTTCTATTTATCTGTTTTTGGAACACAAACAGAAAAAGAAAAGCAAAACTTTCATCGATAAGACATGTCGATTTAGTCGATGGAAGTCTCGTCGATGCGCACAGACTATAGCTGGCTTGACTTTGTTACCTAAGTCCGGCGGACCTCATCATCATCCTTTTACTCGAGGCTTTTACTTTTCTTCTTCGTCATCCTCCTTTTACGTGATCGAAGTGCCTCCTTAGTGTGCTAGCAACCACCACTCAAACATGCCCCAAAAGTGTGTGATGCTTCCTCGGAGAAGATAGGCAGATCCATGTCAACTTTTGCCTTGAAGATATGGAGTGGAGGCATGCGTCAATGTGGCGTGGCGTCTTTAATTAATCCCTACACGTAGGTGATCAAGATTTTATTCCAGCTGAAATTCAATAGGATGACTAGTTGCTTTCAAATTCAATCGAAATTGATAGGATATATTCTAGCATTGTCCTCGTGGTCACAATCATATGGTACAAAGTCGCTTCGAAAAGTTTGAAACGGTGTCATGCGACATCGTTCCGTGCAAGTCGGTAGCGCTCGCACAAACGTACAAGCTGACTGCCCGAGGAGTCAACTACCATCATCAAATTATGTACGCTACTGACTTAACCTTCTGAGGGGTTGAGTCAAGAAATCCTCCTCTTGATAACGGAGAAGATGCACTCGGAAGATAATGAGGCTCAAACTCAACTCGACTCGACAGAGCTCCCATCCAACAACCAGCCACACCGATGATCCTGCGCATCGAAGTTCGAACCGAACCATACAGACACGATTCGAGAGTTCGTCGACAGAAACTGAAAACCAGAACCGTGGAATCGGTTCATCTTGGAACCAAAACCAACGATTTCAAAACCACGGCCACCCGACTAACCCCTACCGCTAGATGAAAAGGGTCGTTTGGATTTACACCCGTGAAAGGCCGAGAAGGAGACGCATTGTTTAGGCGATTGGATTTGCATGCACGAGGTGCTCAAGTGCTGAATAAAGAGTTGGCCTGAGATGATACATATACGGAACCTTTTGCAAAAGAGTTTATTTACCTAACGCTACTGATGTCTCATCGAGATAGTCTCTTTGGATGCCAAAAGCATTCGCTTTTGGAGATGTGCACATGAACTAATGAAACCTATAGTGATGCGATGGTGATCAACCTGACACCACCGTCGTCCTCCTGTGGATGAATGACCAAGCACTATGGTCTGTAGAATAATACCCAGAATGGAAAGGGTACACCACCCTAGTGGAATGATCCACTCATCTACTTGCAAAGAGCAGTGGCCAATGAGGAGGGTGAGCATGCAAAGAGGATGAAGCATTATCAGAGTGGACATTCACGGCAAAGCAACATGGGGATCATCCATGGCGTCACTAAAGACTCGACTGCCATCGAGGCTACAAAGGTCTTTGAAGGCTCAAGTGTCATCTTTAACCTCAGACTGCATGTAGATACTGATGAAGGGTGGAAATGCGACTATCTGATACTGATCAGTCTAGGATCCAATCGGTGGAGATGGCAGTGTGAGTAGAAATGATTCCGACTGTGCTTATCAGACCGCAAACTTGAAACTTGTTTGGCCATTGGTTAATGTAATATAATATTTTTGGAAAAAAAAGTTGAACATCTTAAAACCAGACCAAGTTAAACATTAATTTACGGCGACCATTTCGTGAAATAAAATTTTCATGAATGAGATGAGATTATGTTTGGTGAATGTAATTGCCATGGTCCCTCTTTACGACTTATAAGACCACAAGGACGTCCGTACGGTCGTAGTACAAATGGTGATTGTTACACGTCCAAGAAAGAACGTCTTCTGGCCCCAATGGACTGCAGTGTGATGCATGCATTACGATGCACGAAGCATTACGATGATTAGTGCTGCACAGCCAATCATCTCTTCTGACCACGATGGATTTCAGTGCGTTGCATGCATTAGGACGCATCATCCACAAGCATGATAATGCCCAAAGCAGAAGTGAGAAGAAGAAGAAGAAGAAGAAGAAGAAAATAGGAACCTGTCCGTATTCCATGTATTCCAAGACGGTCAAAAGCAAAAAACCGAGTTATTGTCCATACCGGCAACAGTTAATGGTGTTTGTATTTTGTGACATGTCAGCAGCCTCTTCACAATATTACTCCACTGATATCTTAACTGTGTTTTTAAGAATACTTTTCATATATCCATGTATCTGTGTTACACGATAGTGAGTAAAGTTCCTTACATGAAGCATGTGTTGTCGGATTGGATCACAAGGGATCAGTGGCTCAATCCTCCTAAGACCAACATCTCTCTCTCTCTCTCTCTCTCTCTCTCTCTCTCTCTCTATGTTAACGCATTGCCTCTTCAGTGTGACTACAAGAAAATTCTGGTGATGTCTGAGTCATATCCCACCCATTTCCAGGTTAACACCCAACCCTACCTTCGTGCTCCAACATATACTCTGTCTAAACTTGTGCCATTAAACACGGGAAGCACAAGAAGTGTTGCCGTGTGTGTGCTTCTCTTTCTCTCTCTCTCTATATATATATATACACACACCCACACTTCTCTGACTGGCATCCATGCAAAAAAGACGGGTTAATCACTTCCAAGTGTGCGTAACTTTAACAACTTTGAGTTAAAAAGTGGATAAAAATAGAAAATATCTGAAATATCTATCATATTCTTATTATTATGATGTTAACTAACACTTAAATTACTGTATTTAGAGGGATATATATATAATGAAATTTTAATAAAGTATACACGTAATTTTGATGAACAATTATGATGAATATTTGAAAAAAAATTAAAAACTTTCATTGCCATAAATTATGTTGGATTTGAATCTGAGACCTATTATTTTTACAATAATATATTAGATATTTGAAAGTATTACTAAGAGAGTAAAAAAGAAAATCTTCAATTAAAAGTGAAGAAGATTTTTCTTATTTTATACTAACTAACGGTGTTGGCTTACCCTCTCTATATATATACGTATTGGTTCCGTCCTCTCCTCCTCATCTCTATATCCGAAGGAGAAAAGAAGAAGAAGAAGAAGAAGAAGAAGAAGAAGAGGGGAAATGGTGAAGTTTTCACGGGAGTTGGAGGCGCAAATGATCCCCGAGTGGAAGGACGCCTTCGTCGACTACCGGCAACTCAAGAAGCACGTCAAAAAGATCAAGCTCGCCCTCCTCCGTTCTTCCCTCCCTTCCTCCTCCTCCCCCGATGGCAACCCCGACGGCGTCGCTGGCTGCTGCGACAGCGGCTATGGCTTGTTTCTCTTGGACTCCGCTCGCGCATTCGCCGCCCGCTTTTACGCCTGCCGCGATGACCATCATCTTCCGGTAAGATCCCTAATCGATCTATGCAATATCTGTCTCTCTTTACATAAATCACGTCGAAACCTCATTAGGTCGGTCGTTCAATTCCTTTTCTTCTTCCCCGTCTTGCTTCCGATTCTCGGTTTCTTTCGGTTTTCATCGGATGAAAAAGGGGGGAAGAGACAATAGCAAAAGATGACGCTTTTGCTGTCAAAGGGCAGCGGCAGTACATCGCGCCGTCACCCCATCGATCGTTGCATTCGATTTACTTCTGGACACGATCTGGTTTTCCTCATGGCACGAAAGCCACGCGATGATATGTACAACATATACATGCGTATGTATGTTCGTGCGCGATCGATTACGCCCTCTCTGTTCCTCTTGGTCGGCGATACTGATTTGTTGATCTGTGCCGTCGATTTTGCTAATCGAA